TATGAAACCTCTCATTTATGAACTGGATTGAGCATGAAAGAACCATGAGCCATTTTAAACCTCTCAACAACCTTCTGAGATAGGTTATTTTACAGAATATCATGAGATTATCCCCATGTTACAAAGCAGGATATAGTTTAGAAGGTTTCACAGATTGTGGTGGACATTTTCTGGGCTTGGTTTTGATTTGTTCTTTGGTTGTCCAGCACCAATTTCCTCTTTAGGAGACATTTCCATTATATACCAGGGGTGCCAAAAAAATGTATACAAGTGGATACTTTGGTCAACGTTGCTCAAGCAGTAGTTTTCCATACTCAAAAGTGTCTGGACGCTGATGGTAAACCACTTTGAGCACCTCTTGTAATTGTAGAAGTCAAACGTGACTTGTATTCATCTTTTGTTATCGGTATATATTGAGTATTACAATTTTAATAGTTTTCCTTGCTTAAAATGTGTATACGTTTTTTTAGCACCCTCTGTATATTGTTGGTGGTCTCTATGGAATGCATCCTGCCTCCTAGTATGAAGTCCAAGCTGGGAAAGTCCTCCTGCTTCTTGCTCCGGAACTTCAGGGCAAAGGCACACGACCCAGGCCCAACCAAGACTCTCCCATTGAAGGTTCTGAATGCTGAGGGAGTGAGACAAAGACAATTAGAAACAAGAGCCTAATAGCAGTGGCCTGGAATATCCAGCTGCAATATTATCTAGTGGTAAGAGTCAAGGTCCCCAGCAACAGATCACTGCTTGGCTTTGGTTTCTACTGCCCTTGGTTCTGCTGCTTTGCCCACTCTGGTACTCCAGTCATCCTGGCAATTCACTGAGCTACCTGATATCTTTAAACAAAACAAAACAAACAAAAAATGTGTTCTTTCTTAAATTAGCCAGAGCTGGATTTCATAGTCTGAAACTTAAGAACACTGACTGGTAACACATCTAGAAAGTGGCCAAGTCAGTCTTTGATTCTAGATCTGTCTAAATACAAAGCCTGTGCCCTTTGTAAATAAGACAACTAGGCACTCAGTTATTTATCAACAATTATTCATCAATCCATCCCATGCATCGCAGGCACCTTTTCAGAAACCTAAATGTTGAAGATTTACTAGAACTCCTATGGAATTGAATTCAGCTATGATTTAGCAAGTTCTCCGTAGTCAACTCCATTCAATAATTTAAAACACTTCCCCCCTTGTATTAGTGATACATAGAAACTTGGGCTCTGTTTAAAGGTTCTAAGAAGTCTGCAGGATCCCCCAAATATCATCCCTGCCCAGAGGCTACCAACTTCCTGTTTCATGTATATTATTTTTATCCAAAAGTATATCATCCAACTTTTCTACAGACACTACACTTTCTATAGTTTTCTATGGTACACTCATTTCATTTCCTTTTAGTCATTGACTTGCTTTGATATGATCTTTTTAGGTTGGAATTATTTGGATTTAAATTTATATTTTATACAAGAGTGATAGAAAGAATGCAGACTTTGCTCCTCTGAGAAGAGAGAAAAAATCAGACAAAGGAAACACCTAGTGAGAAATTACCAGCTTGAGTTTGTTATTCTTTTTGCAATGGTCAAGGATGTTGTCTAGAACTAGCCTTGAGGTGAAATTTATTCACATTTAAGTTTAAGTCACTTACAAGAACACAAATTGTTATTCCTCTTCAGTTTTTGCACTTAATTGACGTGTCGTACTTAGGAATATTGGAATTGATTGTGTTCATGCATTAGGAAAATAGATACTGGAACCTTCTAGAAATATCTATATCATACCTTATACAGTTATTTACCTCAATCTGCTTCCAAAATGGACTTTAGCATACAATCTAGAGTTCCAGAGGTGAGAATATCTTTTCTTTATTGTTCCCAGCTTTTTTTTTTTTTAAGATTTTATTGGGGGGGCCGGCTGAGTGGTTCAGTTGGTTAAGAGCTCACTCAAGAGTTTGAGCTCTGAGCAACAGCGGTTCGATTCCCGGCCCAAGCTGAGCAGGTGCTGAGCTGCCAACAGGTGGCAGGATGGTTCAGCTTAAAAAAAAAATTTTTTATTGGGGAAGTGGCATGTTGGTTAGGAGTTGGCTTGGGACGCCAGCTCTGAGCAGCAGGGCTGGTTCAGATCCCACATGAGGGGCAGTGACACTGCCCTCTACAGCTAAGATGGTGAACAACAGCTCAACCTGGAGCTGGGCTGCTGTGAGTTGCCGGCATCGGCATAGGCTGCAGTGGGGCTGGCCAGCAGGGGGCGTTGAGCTTTCATGAGCTGCTGTGAGCGGCTGTCCAATGGCCAGTGAGTGACTGCCTCACCCGGGGAAGAGCACAATGGTAATACCAACATGGGCCAGTGAAGCAACGTCCTCCACAACTAGACTGTAGAACAAAAGGACAGCAACTTGTCTGTTCTCAGCATTTTTTACTGTCATTCCTCAACTCCAGTGCTCCCCTCCCTGTCTTGTTTTTGCATTGGGTCCATCACTATAAACTGGAACAGTGGTTCGAGGAGAAAACAAGAGAACAAGATGATGAAGTCGAGAAGTTTCAAGGACTCGGTCCTTGCTCTTCAGTTTTGGCAGCTGTTATGAAGGTGTAAGTACTAGTGCTGCAGAGGACAGGAAATCATATAGATGCAAATTTTGAGAAATTATTTTCATGTTCTTTTCCTTTCCTCAAACCAAAAAGTGACCATTACTTTGTGTTTGCACATTCATTCACTCATTAAATGAATTTGATTGTGACTTTTGTATTACTCAGTTTTCAAGGAGCTTACAATTTAGTAAATTGAATGAGTCTACTAGATCTCTGGTTTTCTTTCTTTTTTTCTTCTGAGAATCGTGTAGTTTTGTCTCAGAGTACATGGCAGAGATGATATTAAATGTGTGACAAACTTGAATACCTGGGGTTATACACTAGACCCCACACATGGGCTGTGTAACTCTATCGTTTTCTCTTCCACACATCAATGTGACAGAGAAAGCAACAGCGAGAGTGAGAGATCACTATGGTAATACCCTTGAATGTGGTCTAAATGTGAAGAAAGTAAGTCATTCACATGCTTTCCTGGCTTAACAACTATTAGTAATAAATCATTGGCAACAGACTTCACAAATTACTTCCAGATACAAGGTATGTCACTACTAAAAAACACTGCTCTGGAAGACAAGGGCAGTACAGAATGCTATCTGTGACTGGGATGTTCTTGTCACTTTTTATACATATTTTCATTTCATTCCAGACCCCAAAATCTTACTCAACTAATCCAGTATGTTTTCTAACGTAGGTATGCATCAGAATTACCTAGAGGGCTTGTTAAAACATAGACATAAAACATTCCCAGGGCCGGCCGAGTGGCGCGATGGTTAAGAACTCGCTTGGGATGCCAGAGGGCCCGGGTTCGGATCCCACATATGAGGGCCAGTGACACTGCCCTCCACAGCTAAGATGCTGAACAACAGCTCAACTTGGAGCTGGGCTGCCGTGAGTCGCCGGCGACGGCGTAGGCTGCAGCCCCTTTGGCAGCGGGCTGCCATGGGCTACTGTGTGTAGCCAGCAGCCAGCGTGAGTGGCCAGCAGCCAGCGTGAGCGGCCAGCAGCCAGCGTGAGCGGCCAGCAGCCGCAGTGAGCGGCCGTCCAGAAGCCGGCGACTGATCTGCCTCACCAGGGAAGAGCGCAATGACGGTGCCAACTTGAGCCAGTGAAGCAACATCCTCCACAACTAGATTGAAGAACAAAAATGACAGCAACTTGTCTGTTCCCCTCCCCCCAGTTCCCCAGCACTGTTCCCATCCCCCAATTCCCCAATAAAAATCTTTAAAAAAAATAAATAAATAAATAAATAAAAAAAGCCTGGCACCAAAGTAAAAAAGATAAATTGAACATTATTTTTTAAGAGCTAATGTCTACTAAGCACTCTGCTAAGGGCTTTGTTATGACCTGATTTACTCCTTCATGACAATCCTACAAAGTAGGATTCTCTTCCCTATTTTACATATGAAAATACCACAACTGAAAGAGATTAATTTATTCAAACTCACATGGACAGGTGTCTGAACTAGGATTTAAACCCATGTCTGTTGGATGCCAAGTGTTACCAGCAGACACCATGCTATATGTTATACTACCCCTATAACACTGAGAAGCTTACACACAATATTGTCAGTCTTTGGCAGATTAAAAAAAAAAGATGTTCAGAGAGGTTAAATAACTTGCCCAAAGTCACACTGTTAGGAAATATCTTTTAAAAAATGTTATCTGATGCCAAAGTGCTTTTCCTACCATAAACATCCTTTCTCCATGCTATCTCTAGATCAAGATAAATCTTAATCATAGCCGGGAAACAGAGCATGACCCCAGTTAACCAGAGTGAGCAGAGAATGGTAGTTCTGTCTAATGTCTTTGTTAACTAAGACATATCTCTTCTGCTAACTTTCTAACCGTTTTCAGTTCACTTTCCACCCTAAGTCAGCACAGTATAATGTAATGTTTCCTTGATGATTCAGGATCTGACATACCCCAGAACCATCATTATAAACAGCATTCGTTACTGAGAAATGTCAAGTTAGATGCAGAAGACACAGACGATTGGATTGAATCAAGCCCAGAATTACTGAGGACAAATTAAATTATATTCTAATCATTTACCTTTTCTGTAATCAAAATGGAAAAAAAAACCCAAACTGAGACTAATCAAATGTTTCAGTTCAGTGGTGTTCAGATTAATCAAATTTACCCCTATTTGTGTAAGTAGCAGACAAATTTCATTAAAACTGACTGTTTTTCTCCTTTTGTGACTTGGTAAATCACAAAGAATGAAGGTTTCCCTGACTCCTGTGTACCATTGTGTTACCCCATCATCAGGGAGAGAAATGAGCTGTGTAATTACCTTTTGAGACATGAATCATCCTTGCTCTGAGGGTCCAGACCTGTTTGACTCTATAAAAGCAGCTCAAGGTCGAAGTGCAAATGTGCATTGTCTGCCGTCCCCCAAGCTGATATAATTACCAAGCTACCTTGAGGAGATGAAGTTACTCCCTGCATCTGGCCTCGCTCTCCTCCTCATCACGGCTTTGAACTTTTCCACTGCAGCCCCCTCCCTATTTGCAGCCACCCCCAGGACCTCAAGGAACAACTACCACCTCGCACAGGTTTGTGAATCTTTGCACAATTCCCTCTTCCTCCTGCTGCCCCGGAAAACCTAAAGGGGTATAATGAGAAAATACGGAATAATCTGTTATTGATTTAAAATAATTTTATAAGACCATTGAAGTCTAATAGATACTGCCTTCTGTGCAACTAAGACAGATGTCTGGTGCATATTAAGTGTGCATGTTGCTTTATTGAATAAATAAATGAATAAATCTTTATCTAGGTATCTTGCATCTTATAGAATTTAAGGTGGCTTGCAAAAATATATGCAATACAAAAAGACCAAAGAAATATTTGAGGACTAATATAGGAGGAAAATAAGAGCAGAAAAATAAAAATCGAGGTGTAAGATTTGCACACTAGAGGAGGGCTGTAAATGCAATGCTAAACGTCCTAGCAGCTTCTTGTACTCAGGGAAAACCTGGTCAAAATCTAAAATGAACCAAATTTTCTCAGGGAAAACCTGGTCAAAATCTAAAATGAACCAAATTTTTCCTGGGTGCCTAACTCTTTTCATTTGAGAATCTTTGCTCTCTAAAATACATTCTCCAAATACCTTACTTACTTACACTTTCTGTATTTTCCCTTTTTAAAACCTCTCCCAACTGACTGTTGGAAAGGATTAGATACAAGTAATTCATACTAGGACTTTTGCAACGACCAGGTGTGACTCAATGTATATTTGTTTCTAAGCATCTTTTGCATCTAATGGGAAGGCAGCAGTCTTTAACCTAAAGAAACGAGTCGCTAATGATGGAGCTTCCAACGTTAGTGAAAGGTGTGTGGATAAGATGTTTTTGCACCGGGACTTCTCTTTCAAGAGTGACAGCACGTCTTTAATTACCCACCCTGCCTCCGGGATGCTTTCTTTCCTACCTGCCAGACTACACTGTGTCCTGCTTCTCCAGTTGCACTGCAGACCTGTTTGTCACCAGTACTGTACACCCACACCAGCGTGTCCCTACAGATTGCTCACACTAGTTGTCCATTCTATCTGGTCAGCCCCCTGCCACACCAGTTATAAACATTTTGAATATCACCACTGCATATAAACAGTACAGTGGATGCCAAGTACAGGCCTGATGAATTGAACTTCTTTTGACTTGAGCTCACTTTTAAGATGCATTAAATTCAAAATAACGTATCTCAGAATTGGGGTCCATTTCAAATTGTATTTCACTGGTGCCCCCTAGCTTTGGGTCCCTTCTCCCCAAATGTAATTTTTCCCAAACCCAGCTTTATGCCACTCTGATGTAGAAACTACAGAGTTTTTGTGACCTCCTTCTGGGCCAAGACGGTCCTGAGGGGGCTGATGACCATGTCTCTAGTCCAGGTTCAGACAAACTATGGTCATCGGCAATACCGGTCACACCTATTGGTTTACATATTGTCTATTCCTGTTTTGTACTACAATGGAGTTTGGCAGAATCAAAAATATTAACTATTGGCTCTTTACGGAAAAAATTAGCTGTCCCCCAATGCAGGAATTAAGGCCATGAAAGACTTGGGGAAAGCTGTCCTTGCTAGGAGTATTTGGAAAGAATTAGGTAACCTTGGAATGTTAGGGATCTTTACTGATCCCTTACTTCTTTTTCTCCAAAATAAGTCAGCTCTCCTCAGTCTCCCTTATGACACACTCTCAGAAAGACCTTTGACCAAGGACCAAGGAAACTTGTCAACACCTTGCTGCCTGGCAAATTGTACTTTTCCTGCCTGCAATGGCCCCGGCCATCAGCTCTGGGTAGGAACAGGTATCACTCTAGTAGGCTGGAATGATCTGGGCAAACCTCTCAAGTGGGTCTCAGTGACTAGAAAAAATTAATGTCCCACCTTATAGTTTATAGAAGCATGTAACAGCTTTGGAAGCCTTACAATACAACAAATGAAAATAGGCAGTTTAAGTTCATTCAATCCACAGTTATTTATTGACTGCTTACTGTGTGCTATGTGCCAGGACCTGTTCTAAGTACTGGATAAACATCAGTGAACAAAACAAGTCAAGTCCCTGTTCTTAAGGCATTTACGTGGGGATGACAGAGGGACTGGGAAGGTCCCGGGAGGAGATAAATAAGTAGCAGTCAATAAGAGCCCAAGATTATTTCAGAAAGTGATGTGATATTGGATAAAAGTTAATTAGGATGCTAGAGAGTGACTGGGACGGTAGGTGATAAGGGGACATTTTCACCTGAGTAATCCAGAAAGGCTTCTCTGAGGAAGTGACATTCCAGATGAACCTGAACTGCATGAAATTCCCAGTCATGTGAAAATCTGGAGATAGAGCAGTCTGGGCAGAGGAAACAGCTAGTACAGCAGCTTGGGGGTTGAAGGAGCTTCGATGCAAGCATCAGGCCAGTGTGGTAAGAGCTGAGAAACCACAGGAAGAGGGCCCTGGCTGAGTCCCAGAGATACGCAATGCCAGCGAATCACCTGGGGCCTGGGAGCTCGCGTCAGGATAAGCAGCTTCCACGCTGCTCTCTTCTTTCTAGGTGTCTCACTAAGAGAGAACAAATGGTTTCTTGTGCCTGGAATCACCAGACAGGCAATGTTTCCAAATGTCACATGCTTCCTCCCAAGCCTATGAACACAATAATCTACACTTGAAAAGATGAACGGGTTTTTAGTTGATTTATTTAATGCCCGCTTTTATCCTTTAAATTCTTATTTGCTCATGAACATAAAGGCTTTGAAACGATGGAATGATAAAATGTTTACTTAGTCTCTTAATCCAGGGTTTTATTCTATTTTTTGTTTGTTTGCTTGCTTGTTTGTTAAAAATCAGTAATATCAATACATTTAAAACAAGTGTTAAATTATCCTTAAAATAATATAAGTTGTCATTATTACATTATTATGAATTCATAATTAAAGAAAATAGAAACCTTCCAAATACAAACTGTTAAATTCAGACGTTTTTACTACCATTTTACTTTCTGCGCATACAGATATTTTTTAATTGTTATTATATTTTATTCCAATCTTTCTTACTGATTATTATGTCATAATAAAATTTTGGTTTTTATACTATTTTCATAAACATCATTTTAAAGCATTACAAATATTCCAGAATATAAATGAGTTATAATTTATTTAATCATTTCTTTTGTTAGACGCATAGATTATTTCCATATGAATGTTTCTATGAACACCTTTGTACATCAGCCTAATCTAAAGGGTTATTTTTTCAGGATAGATTTCCAGAAGTGGAATTAATGAGTAAAAGGATATACATTTTAAAGTTTTTTGATATATTTAAAAGTATTTTTACAGTGTGAACCCCATTGGCTCCTCACACTGCTGTGGTCAGTAGGATAGATACCAACCCCATTGTATAGATGAGAAAGCTGAAACCAAAAGAAATTAATGGAATTGCCCAAAGTCTGTTAAGATCTTATGCATATTTTAAACCCTCCGTTGGGCGCAACTGATCTCATTCATTGCACACAAAGATGCCGCAATGAAATACATCTTTACTAAGTCACAAACACGACTGGCAATAAGTTACGGTAGAGGGGGAAGATAAGGAAGCAATGAGTCACGATACTTAAGTTAACTGTTAGATATTTGAAAATTTGTGTGCAATGAATCTGTGAGATCAGTTGCGCCAACAGAGGTTAAAGAAAAAACATTTTGTTGTAAAACTTGTATATGTTCAGAATAGAAAAATTATAAAACATATATAACTAAAAAAGAATTAGTCTCAATTACATCACTAAGATATATCACTGTTAATCCTTCAGTGTATATCTTTCAAAACACTTTCCTATGACTCAGGCCCAAACTAGGGTGAGGAGGATGAGGCAGGATTGAACACTGTGTTTGTTAAAAATTTTAATATTTTGTGTATCATGGATTTTTTTTCATTAATTTCAATCTTTTAAATATTGCATTAAAATATTATTTTTCTTGATTACTGAGTTTTTGGTAGCTCCCCCTCCCCAATTCCTCACCATAGTCCCAGTTTGTGACTATCTGTGTGTGTATCCACATGCACACACTTTTGTTGACAAACATGGCTTATGCTATAATAGTAGTTGTAAACCTGCTTTCCACTTAATATATCATGAGCTTCCTCCCTTATTGTGAAACCAAGAATTGTCAAATCAGAATATAGAATAAAACACACAACCTAACAAGGGAACAAAATATTTGAAATCAAAACTATCTCAGAAAACAAGGAGCATCTGATCTTCTGCACAGAGCTTACCTCTGAAGAACATAGCTCAGCTTTACCATGAGCGTCGCATTATCACAGCAACAGCTAGAGCAGACAGGTGGCTCAAGAGAATCGATGCCATCTTGCAAAAAAGGTCACAAACATTAAATGCTTACTTACGATGGTCTAACCAGAGATGGACACAGAACTCGTCTCACCTTTGTTTCAGAGAGCCTACTGCAGGCTTCAGGACCTGGCTCTCCACGCTGCCTTCCCCTTTCACTCCTCTAGGTTCTCACGTCATTACATTTGTACAAGGGACAATTACCAGGGAAGTGAGCTTCTCTCACAAGCAGGACAGGAAACAAGGATCGGTTGACCCCCCAGTGAAGAAGCAGAGCACCTTGTCCAAATGAGTGAGCCAGTCTTACTCCTTTTTTATTTTTTCATTAACAATTACAGTCCATGTTCATAGCAGAAAACTTTGGCTTATAGGAAAGGAAAAAAATTAACTGTCGCCCACAATTTTACAACCCAAAGGTAAACGAGATTAATATTTAGACATATTTCTTTCCATTATTTATTTTATTCATGTTCATTAAATATGATATATATTATCAATATATTAATTAGTATGTTAATTTTAAATATTAATATACATATTAACATTATAATAATGTACATGTATAATGAACATGAGCATAATTTAAATACATACATATATATTTGGTTTGTTTTATTTATTAAATTATTATTATAATCTATAAAGATTTATCCTCTGCTTTTCTCAGTATATTGTCATTATATGGAGTGCATTATTCCATGCCATTAAATATTTTTCAAAAATGTGATTTAGTAGAGGCTTAGTATTACTTCACATGAATGCATAATAATATGTCTAACAAACTTTCTATTGTGAGACATTAAGATTGTTGCCAATATTTTGTTATTTATATATATATAATGTACATATAACATAAATTTTTTAAATATATAATTTACATAGCATATAAATACATATATCATTTTTAAAGTACATCAATAATATTATTATATACAATTGATATACCTTATATATATAAATAAAAATGTTTATATGTAATAAAATATGTATATAAATCTTTAGCTGCTCTTTGTTTATTTGCCCACAAAAAGTTAGGTGGCTGAAATTCCTGGGCCCACAGCAGGCTCTGACCCACAGTTGCATGACCCTGCCTCATTCATTTTCCCTTAAGCAGTCATGGAAAAGTGTTCTGAATGATATATATATATTTTAGAGGTTTTAAGCCTTAATGTGCAAATGAAATTTTATAATGTATGGTTAATTTTATTTATCTCAAAGGACAAAAAAACCTGTCCCAGGAAACCTATCCTATAAAATCAAGTTCAACCCCACATATGAACATACCTGAACTGATTAAAAGCCTCAGTCAGGAAACAGATTGACCCTCTGCCTTCGTATAAGATGACAGGCAGAAATATAAAGCCTCTGAGAGTTAAAAACACTGATCTTGCATAATGTATAATGAAAATGATACCATAACTGCTTACAGAGAAATATGACAATCTGTTTTGCAAATTGGATACACATATCAAAGACAAACGATCCACGGGGGGGAGGGGGGGAATATTCATTTTTCCTTCCATTATTTTCCTCTTTTAGACTACCTATTCATTGTAGAACTATAAAATGCAGGTAAGCAAAAAATAAATAAATAAAAGATAATCATTGTTAATAATTTGGCATACTATATATCTTTCTAAGCTTTATCTATGCAAATGCATCTCAATTTTTTCAAAAGTGGGGATATGCTCTACACATTATTTTTGATACATCGAGAAAATATGGTCCCTGTCGTTCCTGAGCATGAGTATTTCCCAGAGATTGCTGTAGATGTGTCAGCCTGCCTCTCCATTTTAGGCATATCTTGACAAGTATTACACAAAGAAAGGAGGACACCAGATTGGTGAGGTGGTTGCACGAGGAAGCAATTCCATGGTAAAGAAGATTAAGGAGCTGCAAGCATTCTTTGGCCTCCGAGTCACCGGAAAGTTAGACCGGTCCACAATGGATGTGATTAAGAGGCCCCGCTGTGGAGTTCCTGACGTGGCAAACTACCGCCTCTTCCCAGGTGAACCCAAATGGAAAAAAAACACTTTGACATACAGGTAATGAGATCTGAGTCTTTCCAAACTCAGAAAGAAACACCCTGTCTCTCTTTCCTTCTTTTCTTTTCAAAATATCTTCCTTCTGATCTGCATAAATATCGTGACTCATCACAACCATAAGAAAGAGTAAAAACGTTTAGGCCTAATCTTTAGACAATGACAATAGAGAATTCGCTAAAAAATATGATCTCCGGATCATTGTAACGGCTGGCCATCTTAGGCATTACAAACAATTTTACCAGAGACAACACAGTTATTTATCTTCAAAGAAAAATAATCTAGGGTTAATAACCTGACAGTACCAACCAGTTTTCTTAAAACAACCTGTTCAATCAGAAGGGTATGTTACAACTCACTTATCAATAAATGAATTGTGTTCATGGATTTAAAAAATCATGTAGTGATGACTTATTAAGTGCCTACAATTGGCACTCAATTTTGGAGATAAATTGTCCTTGATGGGTCGGCCCTAAGCCCCCGTCTCCCCCATTCCCCAGCTTATGCCTGCCTCTACTCCACACTTTAGCATGCCCTCTCTGGTCATCCTGTGGCCTCCTCCTGCCCAGAACAAGGATTCTGTGTAGTCTGAGAGGACACGCCCAACCAGAGCTTACATTCTCTCTGTGCTCTAGGTCCTCACGTGGGAATTCCTTGCACAGAAACCCAAACCCACTTCTGGGGCCAGCGCAGGCGTCCTTCCACAGGCCCACCCTTCCTCCTAAGGGTGGGGTTGGAGGCAGGAGGACAGCGTGTGGGCACGTGGCTTTGTGCATGCCAGACAGAGGCAGCACTGGGGGAAAAAAGGGCAGCCTCCCTTTGTATTTTTGCCCCAGGCCTCGCAAAGGTAGGGGTTTCCCAACTAGAAAAGCAGACTGAGCAAATCGCGGCATGGAGTGGAATAGCCTGGTGTGTGGGCGGCAGTGCCACCCGCAGTGCCACGGGCGAGCAGAGAGTGTAGGAAGGGGAATAGCGAGAAGTGAGGCTAGAGAGGCAGCCTGGAGGGAGCTAAAATGTGAGGCTAAGCAGTGTGGATTGTATTGCCAGTGTAATGGAGAGCCAAGCCAGGGTCAGAATCAGATTTTAGTTTTTTTGGATGAGCATATCTGGTCAATATCTCGGGATGGGGACAGACTGGACTGTTAAATAGTCCCAGCAGTGGTGTGCAGGAGCCGGCTACAAACAGCTCAGAAGAGCCAATACTTGAATTTTCTGCAATTTCACAGCCAGTTATTAAGTTACCAAAAATTTTGTGAGTTGGTTGCCACAAAAACCCATTATTAAAAACTAAACTATACAAACTTACAATTAAATAAATAATATTAAAAACAAAGATAATCAAAGCATTGCTTTTTAATTATTATACTACATTTGTCTATGCTTACAAAGTCATTTACATTTATTTTGTACAGTGAAAATGATGTTCTGTTGCTCAGCTCTCCCCAGCTTTGTGTTCAGTGGTGGAAAATTGGTAGCTTGAAATTAGCCATAATGAGAGTGTTTACAATATGGAAATCGACAAACCTTGCACATCAAGAATTTTCCTCATAGAGCCGGTTGTTAAACTGTACCAGTTCACCAGTTGGTCCCTGTGATCACATGAGGACCCAAACTAGGCTGCTATGAGCTAATGAGTCCATAAGGTGGCGCACTGAACACAATTATGAGTAGGCTTCAGTTAAGAAATCCACAGAAATCAAAGCATTTGTTCCCCTTATGGAAAACAATCCATAAGGAGTTGAACATACAGTGATTATGAGATGATTAAGGGTAAGACAGGAAAAATGTATATATAAACTGTATCACAGAATTTTGGTCTGTGAGTATGCACAGCTAAGACGAGTTTCACAGATCAGAATAATTAGGGACTTGGAGAAGTATATTCTTATAGTAAGTTAGGCAGTCTAAAACACCTCTTACTCTTGAACAACTTCCCTGCCGCCTCAGGAGAGCCTGTCTTAGTACGCCATCTATGTAGATACTGGATCCCAGAATAACTTCTTATAACAGAGGATTTTAAAAGATAGAAAATTATCATGGTGCTTATATGCATCAGCTTTGAAGTCAGATAGAAATGGGCTCAAATCCTGACTTATCATAAAATGGAGATCATTATTATTAACTCCTAAGGTGTTGTGAGGATTCGAGGGCATATCACATTAAAAAGTGCTTAGAACAGTGTCTAGCCCTTCGTATGTGTTCAAAGAATAGTAGCTATTATCACTATTATCAGTCTGTAGACTGGGTCTGGACTTTTCTCCATGTTCTTTTCTGATGCTCTTCCTTTCTTTCTCTGTCTTCTCCAACCCAACACACAGTCAGCTCGAAGATACAGCTGGCTCTTCTATAATGTGAGGGAATTTCAAGGTACTAACTACACAGAATCGTGATAAACCACAGATTCATGTTGTACAATGGGCTTGGCATAATTTGAAAACACTAAATGGTCTCTTTAAGGGTCTTTCTGGTTTCTCCCCTCACCACTGTAGCTCTCTCATCTTGGCCCTAACCCCTGGAGGTAAAGATCTTGTTCCTTTCCTCACCAGCGTTAAGTAAAACCAACTACTATCCCTTCTGTGGGACATGGTCTCTTCCTTGTGGGCCCCTAGGATTTCCTCTGTTGGTTTCTGGTTGAGATTGTACCACCTGCCTCAGAATAACTTAGAATACTTCTTAAAGTGCAGATGACTAGGTCACACATGTGTATTTTTAAATCTCCCTAGGTAGTTAACACAGCTCCTAAAATTTGAGAACCGCTTAGTAGGCCCTAAAAACCACTAGCTTTCATTAATTCATCCATTTATCAAGTATATTTGCTAAGTACCTATTATGTGCAAGGTACTGGACTAGGAGCTGGAGAAAGAAAGTGGTCTCAGTCCTGCTCTCAAGGCTGGCTGTCACAGCCCTGGCTTCTCACTCTGCATCTATTATTCCATCCCCGCCAAAGTCCCAGGTGGAAGTTCCTCTCTCCAGCCTTTCTCTCACATGCTGCCAGCCCCTAGACTCCAGAGCAGGCTGTCTTAGAGGACCACCCACTAACTGTCTCTCTTTACCTGTTTTTCAAAAACAAACAAACCAACAGAAAAAAATCTCTATACTTTTCTGCCTGCAGATGTCATTGTCACACCAGGACTTGATGAAAGGCTCAAGTCTTTTTCAGACCAAGAGAGCATCGTCATTTAAAGCTAGCATTTCCTCTTTAAGAAATGTATTATTTAAAAAAAAAAAACATTCCCCCGTGGCCCTGGGGAAACCCTGATGGCCTTTGAATCAGAATTTGTAAAACTGTAAAACTCCACATTTTTATTGTTTACAATTGAAAATTTTCAGTCCTTATGAGGAAAAAGAGCTTCCTTCTCAGTTAAAACCACATTAGGTAAAATAGACTTCTTGGTACTTGTAAAACTGCACAAGGTATTACTCTTTAAAATTAGTGATAATCTAACAACAGTGAAAGCCAAACTGTTTTGGCACCAGATTATCCCACCTCTTTCATTTCTCCACTTTGTTTTTCATATTGTTTAACATGTTTCAGCAATTTAACAAATATGGAAGCAAAATAAGAATTATAATCTAAATTATAAATCTAAATTATATATTTATGTTAAATATTTTCATTTTTACTATAAGCAACATAATTTTTGGTTTCTTCACTTAGAAGCATTCACTTAAAGAATAACATGTCCCTTCTATTTTCGCAGAGTATCCAAATACACATCTTCTATGCCTTCTGCTGAGGTGGACAAAGCAGTAGAGATGGCCTTACAGGCCTGGAGTAGTGCCGTCCCTCTGAACTTTGTGAGAATCAACTCAGGAGAAGCTGATATTATGATATCTTTTGAAACGGGAGGTACTGTGGTGCTTCTTGGATTTTGTCTACTAATCCAGAGGAGAAATGTTCCAATACTTTTCCTTCTACAATATTTAATTCAAGTGATTAGCACAATCCTTCACACAGAGCTGTGATGGACAGAGGCCACGGTCATGGCAAAGTCATGATCTTTCTCTGGCCAGAAAATAGAACCAGAGGAGTTCTTGGCATCTGTTGTCATCATTAGACTGAGCTGTAAAATAGACTCGGTATCACCAGTTTTCATCACAGTTTGCCCCATTAGGGGCAAATTCTGTCATATTTAGCTTTCCCATTGGCTGGGAGGACATAGGACCTCATGCCATATCTGTGATGTTGTTCATTGCTATATACCCCCTCCCATAATAGCCAAGAATCTCCAACCTTGAATCTTCACTGAAAGAAACAAACTTCAATGGCCCTGACAGCTTTCCCCCTGCAGCAATGAGTAGGGAGTGGTGTTGCTATCTTGCCTCCAACGTGCCCCCTTTTTCTCCACCCCCCACTCACCCTGGTAAGGAGTAGAGGCACAACTTTACACAGAGTTGGTGGGATGCTCTGAGCCTTTTTCAGAGAAACATGTCTAGTTAGATGACAAAGGAAAGGCCGTGAAATTACTTTCTCTTCTTAGCTTCCTAATAATCAAGGTGAGTCCCATAGCCTCTTCCCCTCCAAGGATAACATTTCTAAGCGTCCCTGTTATTTCAAGTCTTGATCATAATTTTTAGCTGATGTCACTGGGGGAAAGCATGCTTAGAAGCTAGGAGAGAGAAGATCAAGCAAGTCCTGAGTCCGAATCCTGTAGAGATGGCCTATGGTGGGCCCTGGTCCTCCCAGAGGATCAAGGCCACCGCGGTAAAGTGGCAGGACAGTGCGGCTCAGGGCAGCTTTGAGGGCCGTGGAGTTAACATCCAGATCTCTCTTGATCTTTCATGCTTGGGCCCTGTCCCTTAACACACAAGCTGACTAAGGACCGTGCTGCCATTTCATTAGGTGCCTCAGGGCATGCAAGCTGATTAAACTGCACTGCACCTAAACCTGGGGAATGAAACACCAGAACATTGCTTTGTTGGTTTTTATTAAAGCAATGTATCCTCACTAAAATCCTGAAAACCTTTGAAATGTTGCTTCTACACCATCCCTCATTTAATTCTTCCTCGTTTCCTATTAAATTAGCAATGAACTGTTAATTATATACAGATAATAAAACAAAAATATATAAAGGTTTCAAAGTTAGGATTTATAAACACCTTTATTACTTTCATGAGTTTTACAATGAAAGTATGTCAAAATTACAGAGAAATTTTTTCAAGACTTCCTTAAGTTGTATTATAGTGTACTGTGCTGTAGAATCACAAAGCACACACTTATTTATTCAATTTGCTGTTACTGTCTTAGCTGAATCATATGCTGAAAGCTGTACTCTGCCAGCACGTTCGCCTTCCAGTCAGTGGATGAGGCTGCAGTAAAAAATGATCATCTGTGCTCTCTCCTTTTGTAATTTGTGGAATGGGCATAATTCACAGTATGTCAATTAAAGCCATAGCAATCAAAACAATAACAGAAGAACATTTTTTAATTTTTAATGCTCCCTATCTTTGAAATACAAAATAACACTTTTAATTTTTCAAATCAACAGATTACTCTTTGACATTGAACTTTTTATATTAAAAAAAAACAATATTGAAAGTCTATTTGTATGAGAAGTGTCAGTTCGATTCGAAAAGTTGTCCATTCCCTGTAACGTTATATATCTCTCCAAATTGCTAGAAGGACTAAATGTTGTTGGCATTTCTCCCCACTTTTTTAGATCACGGGGATTCCTACCCATTCGATGGGCCTCGAGGGACTTTAGCCCATGCATTTGCACCTGGAGAAGGCCTGGGAGGAGATACACATTTCGACAATGCTGAGAAGTGGACTATGGGAACGAATGGTATATATGCACAATTCACCATAACCTGGAAAATATTGTACCTTCTCCTGGGCCTCCATCATGAAACCTTGAGGTTCAACGTCCCAAGCCACCCTTTAACTAGGGGGGCTGGCTAGGAAAAACAAGTAAGCCAAAAATCCAAAAATCTGAAAGGGAACACCATAGGGAAAAGCCCACCCTCATTCGTGCTGTAGACTTGTCTGATCTCTGGCTCGTTGTACATAATCTCAAAAAGCAGCAATCCCCTCCTCAACACACAGCTCTTTTATTCAACTACCTAGTATTTATTGTTCCTTACTTATACTTGAGAATAGGCTACATTCAGAAATGACCTAAGAGAGTCAGTATTCTCCCAAGAAGTGTGATGGGGATGGGTATAAAAGTTCCAGAATATCATGCATGTCATCTGGAAATCTTCTATGTGTAACGTGTGGATAAAAAGGAGTAGCCTGAAATAGTAGGGAACTAGTTAAGTATTTGTGGCCTAAATCTACTTATTATTGCCACTATTATCATTTTGCCACTATTGGCTCTAACTAGACCCTTTTTTATGAATCTATTGAGCATCACTGACAATGAACAAAGTGAGTTGACTTACATTTCCATTCTTCCAACCTCAAGTCCCTACTAGCCAAGGGGGAAAGAACTAGACTAAAGTTAGCAAAGCTAAGTGCCAGAAAAACCTACCAATCTTTGAATAATTCAGCATGAAAAGAAAATGAGTTAATTGTGATTTGGGCATAAATTCTCCTGTAAAGACAAGATATGGAAAATAAAACCCTGTGTTGATGCTGTCTTTTTCTCTCTCATATTGTCTAGGTTTCAATTTATTCACCGTTGCTGCTCATGAATTTGGCCACGCACTAGGCTTGGCCCATTCCACAGACCCCTCAGCACTGATGTACCCAACTTATAAGTACCAGCATCCCTATGGATTCCACCTTCCCAAGGATGACGTCAAAGGGATCCAGGCATTGTATGGTACAATCACTACACTTCTTTGACGACTAACCCTGAAAGTAACAGGCATTCAGTTTCCAACTTAGAGAAAGTATATATTGCCAGGAGTTAACATGCAGAGGTAAAGATTTAGCTAGAGACCACAGCCCCAACTGTGCCTCTTGTGAAGAGCTTATTTACCAGATGTGAATATTGCTCTCTTCTAAGATGTGCAATTAAATTTACATCTTTCTTCCAGAGCACATTTGTCCCTTGATGGCCATAGAAAATGCAATTATTTGTCTATTTTTTAGGTGTAGGTCAGGATTTAGACATTGGGAGAGGATGGATATAATTTATAGTTCATATTCATGGTACTTACCTATAAGTGACCTTATTTTCCTAAAAACAGAAGTTATGATGATAATAACTACATCACTCAGTTGTGTAGACAACCTGCAGTTTATAAAACATGTCATATGAGTCATCCTACACTGTCTTCATGACCCCAGCCTGTGGGGTGTGAAGTGTTTTCATTTGATAGCTGAGAAAGCTGAGGCTCAAAGACAGTAAGTATCCAAAAATATTCAAAATCGTCTTGTGTTAACATCCTTTCAAAGGTAATAGAGGATTATTACAAACTGTATCTAATCTTGCTTAACAGAAAGACAAATCCATTAATTCATGAGAAGGAATCTTGATACATCCTTAGACTTTGACACTTTTTCTTTAATGAATGAAAGGCCAGAAAAATCTATAAAATGATTTTCCCTTAAGCTTCAGAGCCTGGCTTCAGCCTGTACTTTTGGAGCCTCTCATATTTTCAGCCTAGAAAAGGGCCTGGAGACCTGATCCCCCACACCTTCCTGCGTGTTGGCCAACCCATCTGGCTGTTTAGAAATGGGCACACACATCTGCAAACAGTCATATTTCAGCTGAGGCATAAAAGACAAATTTTATCCAAAGACGTGTTCAGCTAGCTCTATCCACTTTCAGAGGGTAGGTGATAGTTCTGCTCCACCCTTAAGTGACAAAATAAATACTGTGAATGTCTCCATTTTTCAAACTGGGCTCCAGAGCTCCCAGGGGTAGGGAAACAATTCCCATGGGCCAACGAATCCAAATACTTGCCTGACCTTTACAGGTCGTCGTGCACTGGAAATGCACCACCATTCCCATGGCCATGGTCTCTCAGTCAGGAGCTGAAGCATATCGTTTGACAGGGCCATTTTTGCACAGGTGAACAAAATATAAAAACATAGTTTTTATATTGCCAGGAAGCGTACTCCTCACCCATGCCTGACCACCCTGCCACCTCTGACCCTTAGCAGAATGCTTGGCATGTAGTGAATGTTCAAAAACATTTCTGATCTGACCAATTTCCAGTTTCTGATCTTTTCCCGAAGCCTCACCCTACCTCTGATCTTTGCCCATTGCTGACCCTACTCCTCCCTGATCTCACCCCTCTCTCACCCTTAGCAGGCCTTTCCTGTGCCTCACTCCACCCCTGATCTTCACCTCTGGTTACAACAAGACTTGATCAAGAGCAGGGACTTGCGAGGGGCAATGGCTCAGACGTCATTTTTCTATAGCTGGCAGATAGTCCTCAGGAACATGGAGTGAGAGAGGAAAATTTACCAGCAGCTCTCCTAAGGGGTGGGCTCTTGCTTTACAAGAGGACCCAACAGAAGCTGTCTTTAAGTAGTAAACACCTTCAATGTATTTCAATTCCACACGAATTCTCAGTCTTTCCTGGGTGCCTTATGCCCTAATGTGGATAAAAATTGTACAAAAACACATAAGAAATTTATAATCTTATAGAGAAGAAAGAAATTAGTTACAATGAAACAACCAGTGGCAATTTTAGGAATACATTTCCAATTCGGAACATGTACTCGTATAGCTATCAAAGAAGTTGTGCGTGATGATCAAATAATAGCTACCAGTTTTTGAACATTTACGATGTGCCAAGCACTCTACTAAGTGCTTTTCAGGCAGTGTTGAATTCTCACACACGCCTGAGGTAGGCACTATTATTGCCCCTCCCATTTTACTAATGAGGAAACAGGTTCGAGGGGTGAAACTATTTGCCTGTGTATCACACAGCTCAGTCACCGGTGAAGCTGGAATTCAAACCCAGGTCTGCCTGCCATCGGCAGCTGCGCTCTTTATCACCTTGTGAAAGGCAGTGAAAGTGGGTCCCTGGAGCAGAAGTGTACAGACTCTAGATTCCTGGTAGCATTTGACCAAGTCACTTTGAATCCTAGGGCCTCGGAAAACGTTCCCAGGAAAGCCCACTGTGCCCCATGTGCCCTCTCATACTCCGTCCAACCCCGACCTCTGTGACTCCAGCTCGTCCTTTGACGCAGTGACAATGCTGGGAAAGGAGCTCCTGTTCTTCAAGGACCGGTAAGCCCAAGACCGACGTAAGACAACGAGGTCGTCCTACAAGTGCGAAGCAAATAATTCATACCTTTTTCTTTCACGCAACAGTATCTCATTTTCCCATGTCAATACATTTTAGTGTTCATCTCTAGTTTATATATGTATATATATTGCAATGAATAGATATAGCATCACTTATTTAACCAATGCCGTCCTTATGAACATCTAGATTATTCCTAATTTTTAAGAAATTAGGAACAGCTTAAACTAAATCTTTAACAATGGAGGGCAGCCACTTTTCAAAGGGAAAATAGAGCAGAGCCCAGGAACTCAGGCTTTAACATCAGGCTATGTTGGTTTAAATCGTGACCTTGCTTCTTACTGATCAAGTGACCCTGGGCGAATCATGGGCCAAACACATGGTGAGTGCTCAGTAAGTATTTGGGAATCAAAAATATGTACAATGGGTTGAGTCTTAGATACTTTAGGCATTTTTTTATTATTTATTTTGATTGATTCTTTTTTATTAAGACTTCTCAATTATTGACTTTCTTTTTATTGATTATTACCAAAAATAAACTGCAACAGAATTGGTGGCATTGACCCAGGAGTGACTGGCTAGGGGTGGAGCAGGAGGAGTCTGGAACAGCGTGCTAAATATCATTGGTTTCATCTGAGGGGTAAGGCTGTAGCGTTTACATTGCCCTGCCAGGTGCATGCAGCACCTGTTGCGTGATAAAGAAATGAGATGCTAGCCACGGGGTAGCATGTAACTTATTCTTTTGGTAAATATCAGTGGTTTTGATGGGGGCAAAGGACACAGTGCAGTCAGAGATATTATGCCCTTCCATGCAATTATTATTGTATTCTTAAAAAAGAAAAAATGTTTAAAAACACTCTATGTATCGAACTAGGAGCATTTAGCAATTACTAATGACTATTTGAAGTAGGTACATCTTTTGACAAAGTCTTGACTATAAACACTGAGGGTGGTAACAGAATAGAAAGGGAGGCATAGATGCAAGAGACGTTTGGAAATGAGTGGTTACAGAGGGGTTAGAGAAAGACAGATGGTTGACTGATATGTACCTGCTTCGTCATCACCTTCTCATCTTCTCCATCGGATTTGATGAGCTACTGTGAGCAGGTAATTCCAAAGAACTAGGAAGAGCTAGAAGGAGGACGGGGAGTCAGGAGGGGTCCCCTTCTAACACTGGATTTGCCCCTAACTTGCCATGGGACCTTGAACTTCTCTTTCTCTACAAAATGAGACATTGCCTGACAGGAATAGTGACTTCGGTGTGCTCAGTACTTACTATCTAAACACTTTGTTATTATATCCTTACAATGGCCCTGTGAGGTATGAATTCTTATTCTCTTTTTATAAGAAACAGAAAATATAAGCAACTTGTTCAAGAACGCACTGCTAGTAAGGGGTAGAAGTGGGACTCAACCTACACTGTGGCAGGGCCTGGCTCCTAACTGTCCTACTCTCCTGCCTCCAGAGCTAGAATTCCATGACTCTATAGCTCTGTTCCCCTACTGCCTGTCACCAAAAGTCCCAAAGTGCCTGCTAAGCCTGGACAAAGAACAAAGAATTCTTTCAAGTCACAGCTACAATGGCAACCTAGGGACCATTATGAAAGAGCTCCCGGTTTATTCTCTCCCACCCACAAGCCTGGAATTCCCCATCACTAACAATAACTTATTGATGAGATATTTCAAACTGTGGATGTAATAACCACATGGTTTTTTTTCCCAAAGCCAGATGGAATGCAGTACCTTTTAAAGTCACTGTATGGAGATTGTTACATATCTCCATAGCATATAAAGGAACATCAGTACATTCAAACGTTCTGTTTGAAGAGAAATTTTAGCTATACTAAGTTGAAAGTCATATATATATATTTTTTTAATTCACACACATTTATTCTTTATAATAAATTTCCAAATATTGAGACTATCCCAGATTTCTTCAGGCACTTAGGGAAGAGAAGAGGGAAATGACTGAATTACAGCCACACCTAAATTATATTTGCATCTCTCAGATTATTTTGAATTTTATACAATATCATTTTAAGGCTAAAATCAAGAATATCACAATTAGCATTTCACAAATGGAATAAGTTTAAAGGTTGATCATGTCCAAATTCTTCATTTTAGAGACAAGAGAGCTAGGCCCAGGTCTCTTAGTCCAGCAGACACTCCACTGCAACCTGGGTCTTCTGACTCCCAGTCCCGAGTCGATCCTATCACAAATATAGAAAACCTTCTGACTATGCAATGGAACTGCCAAGAGAAGCACTGCGTTTTGACTTAAATGAACTTATGCCTTTTGCCTGATATTCATTTGAGTTCATGGAAAAAGCACTCAGTGCTCCTGTACTCATAGGCCCTTGGTCTCCAGGTCAGGTAAACAGCCAGATGGAGGAGGATGTTCTTAGACTATCTAAGTTTCCCAAAAATGTTTGATAGGCTTCTGCACATTCTGTTTTATTCTCAAAATAGGATTCTTTATTTAAAAAAAAACGAAAACAGTCAATCACTACTGTCACATCACTACTTCAACATCATTGAAAGGTGTTATGTATCTTAGATTAGAATGCAAAGAAAGACATTTTTAAAGGTATGCGAGTAGGAGTTGAAGAGAAGGATGGATGGAAAAGGCATTCTGAAGGAGTCACCAGAAGGACTTGGGCACTAATTTAATTTGGTGAGGAGAACAATGGAAAAGAAAGAGTCAAAAGTAGCAGCAGCATTCACATAGATAGGAAAATCAAGATTTGTTGGGCATATGAAGAAAAACTCAGTGTTAGACTTGTCAAATTCCAGGTGATGGCAATTCTAGTAGGGTTTTATAGAAATAAGCTAGTGCTCAGAGAAGAGGTCAAAGCTGATGTCTTCAAAGGTTATGGAATCTCCCACATGGAGGAGGCAGTTAAAGATGTGAAAATAAACAATAATAATAATAATAACAACTGACATTTCATGATCATTTACAGTGTACTATGTGTTATAGTAAGTATTTTACAGGCATTTACTCATTTAATGCACACTGCTATTATCCCAGCTGGAATTTTAACCTAGGTCTACTTGACATCAGAGACAGAATCCCTGTTGTGGAACCCCAAATAAATCAGAGGAAAGAGGCTTATTTTTTTATTTAAATGAAGAACAGTGGAAATGCTACCCCAGGCCACCAGACTGAGAACTGAAGAAAAGTGACTGACTGGCCAGGATAATTAAGGAATGTAGTTTCAGTGGAGTAGTGAGGAAGGAATATCATGTGAAGTAAAAGAACAATTGGTGGGGAGCCAATGGAGATGGTAGCTATAGATCACTTATTTGAGAATCTTTTTGATAACAGAGGGAGTTAAGTCAAGATAATAGCTGGAAGAGGTGGTAGGGTCAAATGAAGAGTTTTCAAGATGGGTAATACCTGGACATATTTGAAGACATGAAATGGAGCCAGTAGAGAAAAAGAAATGCAAAGCACTGTGGGAAGGAAGGACAGTAAACTCAATAACCACTACGATTAGATAGTATGTTTGGAATCTAGCATTTCTCACGATTCCATGTGCTTGAGGAGAGCCAGTGCAACTGAAGAGGAAGTCTTCCTCCTTCACAGTCTCCGTGGAGGTGTGTCTTTTCTATAAGGTGGCGTCACTGAAAGTAAGCAAATGGCATTGTATTTACTTAAGCTGATTCTCTGTTATGCATTAAGAATTCAAAGAGTCAGAAGGTGTACTAAACTATCTGACTCATTATTATTTCTTCTGAACTCCCTCCTTCTGGCTGAGAATGGGGCCCTTTTCATTTTCACAGGTTATGGGTTATAAACACGGATCCCCATTGTCTCCTCAGATGTGTGTAAACACTTAAATTAAAGGCACTAAGTTTCGACTATTTTTAACCTACACCAGTGTCTCACCATGGGTTTTTAATTTTGTATGCTGTATTTTGCTTAAACTCAGTGAGATGGATGGATGATACATGGTGGATTTCTTGGCCTCTAAAGTATTCTAATAAAACAACACTGGTTAGTGAACCCCTCAAAAAGAATGGCTTCTCAGCCAATGACGTGACAGCTTGTACTTCAAAGTTTTCAGTGACAGAAATATTTTATATCAGGGAGACAAAGAAAAAAACTTTGCTATCTTGATAAGCTCTAAGTTTAAGTTTTACGTATCATCATTTAATAAATTTGTAGAGTGAAAATAAGTCACTTTTAAGTATTTAAAACTAATTGTAGTAGTAGTCCAGAGTTTATAGAATGCTTTCTTATGCATTATCTCAATTGATTCTTTGAAGTATTAATATTCTCACTCTTATTTGAGAGAAGGAAATTGAGTCTCAGAAAAATTAAGTGACGCATATGAGGTCACATATCCAATGATAAAACAATGTTTCAAGCATCCCTTGCTTCTCTCATTGCACCACATTGCCCAGTCTCAGGGGAGAGGAGCAGCAGTTCAATTGTGAGCATCAAAAAGATAGAAAGAAGGACACCTCTTCCCCATGAAAGTAGGGAACGAGATGACAGAGAAGGACAAAGTCGAGCAAAGGAAAGGGGTGAAGAGGATGGAACATGAATTGCCCATTCAGCTGTTGCTTAATTACCTTGACAGTCCAGCAACTGGAAGGTGAAGGCAGCTCCTGAAAATGAAAGACTGATGGGATCAGCTTAGGGAGGTGGTGAGTAAAGATGGTTGGGTGTAACAAAAAAGGAACAAAAGTTTAACAGACATGGATCAAGGCCCTCGATGTGCCAGGCACTGTGCTAAACCGAGGATAAAACGATGGCTAATACATGACCCTGGCCCCAAAGAGCACACAGAGCTGGCAAAAAGCTAGAGGAAGCCAGGTGAAGGTTATCAGTGATCTAATCTCAAACTTAATGAAATAGTCACTGTTCTTCAGTAAAAAGGGAAGAAAATTTCAGAGAATTTGAAAATCAATGATCAAATAAGTTCTGCTCAACCCTCTGGCACCCATGTATTTCACCAACAAATATTTATTGAGCCTTGACTATGTGCCAAGCACAGTGTTGGCTCCTGGGTACACAAAGATAAACAGTGCAGCTAATATCTAATCAGTTGGTCTATAATATTTAGTAACTTCCATTGTTTTGCCTTCTTTATCAAAGACGAGGTTACAGACTAGTGATATGATCTGTTTATGTTTTCATTACTGGTTACAATATATCCTGCAGCTGCTCTTTTCCAACAAGCTCATAGATTTTTTTTTACTTGGCTTATATTTTAAATCCATTTACAGATGTTTTTTGGGGTTTTTTTAAAGATTTTATTGGGGAATCGGGGGAAGAGGAACAGACAAGTTGCTGTTGTTTTGTTCTTCAGTCTAGTTGTGGAGGATGTTGCTTCACTGACCCAAGCTGGCACCATCATTGCGCTCTTCCCGGCGAGGCAGATCAGTCGTCAGCCTCTGGACGGCTGCTGGCCATTCACGCTGGCTGCTGGCTACACATGGTAACTTATGGCAGCCCATTGCAGCCGAGTACTGCAGCCTACGCTGTCTCCAGTGACCCAAGGCAGCCCAGCTCAAAGTTGAGCTGTTGTTCAGCGTCTTAGCTGTAGAGGGCAGTGTCACTGGCCCTCATATGTGGGATCCGAACCGGGGCCCTCTGGTGTCCCAAGCCAGTTCTTAACCAACGTGCCACTCGGCTGGCCCCATTTACAAATGTATTATAAGTTTACTTACTATAATGTTTTTTATCAACTTTAATTCATTTATTATTGGAATCTCTAGCTCTAAGGTTGTAAATCCTCTGCGTATGTGTTCCATTGCTTTATTACCCACAGGACATAATTTTTCTTCATTAGCGAGTGTACTGAAAATCTTCATGATTGTAGGTTCCTTGTGGAATTCATATTACTTTATATAAGTGATGGGGAGTGTTTGTTTTACCTTATGATACAGTGTATACATTATGTCATAACACTGCTTAAACCAGTGTTCTTCAACTTTGGCACTACTGATATTTTGCACCATATAAGTCTTCGTTGTGTTGGGCTGTCCTGTGTATTGTAGGATGCATAGCAGCATCCATGGCCTTCACCCACTAGACTCCAACAGCAACGCCCAGCCCTAGCTGTGACACCAAAAATGTCAGCAGACATTGCCAAATGTCCCCTGGGGCACAAAATCACTCTTGTTTAGAATGACTACTCTACCTCAATTTAATCCTCACAATACCCACAATATTCTAAATCAGGGTTTATTTAGTAAGAAATTTAAGATTCTACCACCAGTATAAAGTTCAAAAAGTACCTTTTTAGTTTGCCCATACTCTTTTTTTAATCTTTTTGTTTTGTTTTTCAATTGCAGTTGACATACAATATTGTATTAGCTTCAGATATACAACATAATGATTAGACATTTGTATAACTTACAAAGTGATCACCCTGATAAACCTAGTACCTATCTGACACCATACATCGTTATTACCATATTATTGACTGTATTCCCTAGGCTTTATTTTACATCCCCATGACTATTTTATAACTACCAATTTGTACTTCTTAATCCCGTCCCATTTTTCACCCAACCCTCCTTTAATTTTAGTCACTACCCTTTACTACCACTCATATTGAGTCATTCGGAACATCAATGTCCTGTAACTTCAAATAAAAGATGGGGTTCAGTTTTACCTAGAGTTACTTGTTGATTTTTAAATGAAAGATGAAAGAAAATACATCCCAGCTTTAGGGTGCCCAGAAAGAAAATGAGCTGTAACTCATCAGAGATGTAATGCAGATAGAGCCTACTTATCCGGGGATATACCCGCTGCTCTCCCTGCCCACTTTCCCCACTTCCTTATCCCCACTATTATAATCCTCTGAAATGCACACTTCCTGTCTTAGTAAGCATTGAGCACAATGACTTGAACAGAATCAGCATTTCAGAACTGTATATTGAATTGAACTCATTTCTCATCAAGTTCCCAATTAGTCCATTGTTTTGCCTTCTTCATCAAAGATCAGATTATGGACTATTGACATGATGTGTTTATCTATTTTCATTACCCAATTCTTCTGGATACCCAAACCTGTGCTCATTTTGTGGTGGTAGAGAAAGAGGAGAAGAAAAACAAATCAGACCTAGCCTTCAGAAAAACCTAGGTCTGATTGGGCAAGGGTTCTAGTTATAAAAAAAAAAAACCAAAGATCACAAGGCTGAGCATGAACAAGTTGTTGAGATAGGGTATGTAATGAAAATCAAGACAGCTAAAGTCAAATTCAGGTCTGTCTCCCCCTAATCACCAGGTGAACTTTGGGCCCAGCCGTCTTTCTGGACCTCAGTTTTTTTTCTGGTAATACATGTGGTCTAGATAAGTCTGTGATGTGTAGGGCCAAGGGTGAGGCAGTGTACCCTAAGTGGACTCCTGCCACCTGTGTACGGTGTGTGGTGTGTATCCACTTAGTGGGTAGTTAAGGCCTAGGCAAATAATAATTTTTATAATTATAAAATATAGCATATGTGTTTACAATGTACTTTCATATGCATCTGATCCTCATAATGATCTCATGAGATAGGCCAGGTGTTATCATTTGCATTTAAGAGATGATGAAACTGAGGCTTGGAGATGCTGGTCAGCCTACATCTTCTGAAACAGTGTGCTTTTCCTTCTGCATCATGATGCCACTTAGGAAACATGAAGAAATAGTTCTCTCTTTCCAGTATAGCTCTCTTTTGTATTTCATCATCAGCTTAAGTTGCCTCATCCGGGATGCCTTCACCAAACCCCCAAGTGCAATGGGGTATCCCTCCTGTGTGTTCCCAGAGTATTCTGAACTTAAATCTTTGTAGAACTGATCACTCTGAACTAGAATTGCCAATTACTCGTCATCTCTACTACTTGAGAGCAGGGCCTGGGTCTTGTTCAATGTTTTATTCTTGATGTGCCATAAATATTTGTTCAATTAACTGAATAAGAAAACTCAACATAAGGTTTGAGGAGTTCTTCAACTAACTACCTGGAAAGTTAAATTTTAAAACTTTATTACAGTTTTCTTGTCCACAAATAATTTTCTGTATTGATTCTAGCTGCTATGGAGTCAAGTAAACTATTTGTATTTTATAAAATTATTTTTTTCTGAAAAAATCAAAATGAACCATATTTACATTAAGAGTTTCAGCCCACAACCCTTGTGTATACTGTCATAATTTTATGGAAACAATATTGGGTAAGTGGATGCATGAGTTGCTAAAACCTTAAGTTAATTTCTGTGTTACCAGATTTTCTGTTAATTAGTCATCAGGTTCAAAGATACAAACACTTTCAATAGATAAGGATATAGGCAACATGATAATTTACAATTGATAATGTTTTTGCTTTTTTTTACTGGGAAAAATTAGCATCTCCCAACCACAAAGTTTGGACTCATTTATATCATATTCATAATGTTTACCTGGATCATACTTACCTTTGTGAGGTTCTAATTTTTAAAAAGTCAGAATTGGAAAGGAAAATTTGTATCAAATGATATTTTGAATAGGAAGGTGCACAGCTTAAATGTATAAATCATTGATGTCATTTCCTTGCTATAGCCTTCAATATTTTGACCATCCTTAAATAAATGAAGGATTGTAGAGATGCTAAGAAAACAAAAGGGGATAAGAAACTGTTTGCTAAGGTCAAAATTTTATGTTGCCCTTAAAAACAAGACAAGGGCAAGAGGCATTTAGCAATGGCCTCTGAAGTGTGGCTTGCAGTACCTTTCAGTCCAAGTTCAGTTTAAGATCTAAATCAACCCTTGATCTTGATTTCTTTTGAATTGCCCAATAGGATTTTCTGGCGTCGGCAGGTTCACCTGATGGCAGGGATCCGGCCCAGCACCATTACCAGCTCCTTCCCCCAGCTTATGTCCAATGTGGATGCAGCTTACGAAGTGGCTGAGAGGGGCACCGCTTACTTCTTTAAAGGTACCCTACAGATCCTCAAAAACAGAAGTGGCAGGGTACGGTGCCCAGTGTGTGTGGAACATGTAGCACTGACAGCATTTCTTCAGTGATTACGGAGTGTGCTTCGGTCACTCTTCCTCAGGTTGGGTATGAAATGCCACCCCACTCTATTGTAGCAATGACAGGATTGACGATGACTATCAAACAGTTCTCAGAGCCAAACTTTACCCTGGGGAGTCTCTATTCTAAGGGACGCTGCCCAGGGACCTAGAAGCCTGGTTCCTGCCCCCTAGGACCTCTGCTCTGAGTGACATGGCATACCCTTTTGAGAGCCTTTAATTAACAAAAGCCAACATAGAGCCCAATGTAAGGAGAATAATACCCTTGCTTCTACGCCAGAGTATTTTTTCCCCCCTATGTGTCATTTGTGGTTGGGAGATGCCTCCAGGGCACACTTTAAGTCTTTTACTGAATTGAATAGTTAGATATCTCCTACTGGGTTATAGCCATGGCAAATATCTCAGAAACCAGCCCCACTGATGATCCTGCTTAGAAATCCTCATTAGTGAAGTGCATTGTTAAGTGGTATGGCGTTTTTGTAAACTTTAATTTCTGTTTTCAGGCCCCCACTACTGGATAACAAGAGGATTCCAAATGCAAGGTCCTCCTCGAACTATCTATGACTTTGGGTTCCCAAGGTACGTGCAGCGAATAGATGCTGCCGTCTATCTCAAGGATGCTCAGAAGACCCTTTTCTTTGTGGGAGATGAATACTACAGGTATGGCTTTTCTCCTTTTGATTGTCCAAATGTATTCAATGGGAAGGACAAAACATTTTGCAGAAGGCAAGTTTGCTATAATCCCATTGACTCTTCTTGGCCACTGGGGTGCCATTTGCTGATGGTTGACACTATCTTCAAAATATGGAGCCATCCAAATGATAAGTGAAACATTAATTCAATAATCCTATTCTTTGGTCTCTAGGACACCAAACATCCTGATCTTTCAATGCACTCATTAACTGGACCCCCAGTGACCTAAAAGAGTGGATGCAGCATCCCCAAATACATAACTACCCACTGGGAATGCCTGAGGGGAGAACTGGTTCCCTGTTATGTGAGTACCAATGCATTCCAGAATACTCTGTGATTTTGTGCAAAATGGACATGGTGGTGACTGTGGGGCTCTTTGAAGGAAAGTTCTGCTAACAGGAAAAGGCCTTATTGCTAAGTCCTTTAATCCAACCTAGAACATGAAGATTCTTCTTATCCAAAGTGATTCATTTATAATTTCCATGCCTATCTTGCAGGAGGTTATTATAAGCAAATCTGAATAGGATGTCATGTGTCATCCAATCACTGCACACAGGATTACACCTCATTTCACCTACCAGGTTTCTATCCTTAATTGATTCATTTCAAAGGATGAGTGCAGCTCTTTGCTAACCTCTGCCTCTGCACACCTTTCCATGATTCCTGGTGATCACTTTGGTCTTGCTTGTTTTTCTGAACTTCAAAAGAGAGAAGTAAAAACAGGTTCTGAGCAGGTATATGCTCAACACTTTAGGGTTTGGTTGGAAGCAGGAGAGCCCCCAACTTTGGTCCAAGGGTTTTTATTTTATTTTTTATCACCTACTTTTAATAGCCATTTCTGTGGCATAAAAAATTTATAAATAAATATTTGTCATCTTCTTCCACCAAACTGATCTTGTCTTCCCCGATTTGGACCTGAGAAAGTAATATAAATGGATCATAGATATATTTCAAGAGAAAGAAAATTTATTTTATAAAAATGAATGTCAAACAAATGTGGACCTTGCCGATTCTTCTGGGCCACTGTATGCCCTGGTAACATTGCTGAAAGTATCATATGCTGTTATGAGTTTTCACTTCCAGTACAATTAAGCCAAGTTAGCATTCTTTCTTTCAGAACTTCCTTTCTGAAAGTGATAGTAATTCATTTATTAATCCCCTAACAACTGCTGGGCAGATTCTCCAAAGTCTTTAAGATAAGGTAGCTATAACCACAGGTTGACATATAAGTAGATAATAAGAAACCCGAGTCCTGTTGTGGATTTTTAGGGAATGAGATTGAGAGATTCTTGTATGAGCGTGTGTGTGGGGGTGTGAGGGCATTTATGTTATGATTATTCGGCTAGTTGGTCGAAGCTTGTTCACATCCTGGTTCTCATGTGGGGGATTCCCATTATTGTTCTTCTCTAATAACCACACAGTCTTTGAATTAATCCACCACCAACCAGCACCCACAGTAAGGCATGCGCTTCTAGTAAGGGGGGGTTGAAGCTTAACAGCCAATACAAGAGGTTTGGTGAAAGGTTTAAAATTCTCTGTAAATTTAAGGTTGGAGAGGGAGAGGGTCTCTGATTTTAATCATACCTGATGCCCCTGAGGAAATAATACTGAATTTTTCCAATTGGGACTCTACAAGTGTCTATTAAGGAAAAGTCTTTAGTAATGTACATAAAACAGATTCATTAAAAAGTTGGTTTAGTGCCTTAATTCAAATGTTAAAGAGCTCATTTTGCTAGTAGAGGGAAGGAAACTATGGTAAGCACTTTTAGCATTATTCTTTCCATCTTATTGAAAGTATGAAGTGATATAATTCATGTAGACACCTGGCACAGTGCCTGGCACATAGTATCTGCTCAAAAACAGTAACTATTTCATAATAGTAGGAACTTATATGGTAATTAACAAATAATTGCTTTAAACATTGTAATAATTAACAAATGATTGTTTAAAGCTCAATATTTCTCTGAGGGGAAATCCAGTCAAAGAGAGTCTCCTTTTTAAATATTGAAGGGCCCTGACATTGCCCTGAAATTATTGCTTTTGGCAAACCAGAGGCAATCCTTTCAACAATGGGAGTCTTCTACTTTCCACACTTCAATACACACACTGGTTTATGCACTAAAGCATAAGACAAACACCCCTGACTTACAGCTCAAAAGTTCAGAAAAAGCTATTCTGTCAGCTTTATTAATAACTGCTCTGCCTGATTCTACACATTGTGTTTAGCAGGACCTCACGTGTATGATACCTTATTGTCATGTGAAGCCCTGAATCAGTTAGAAATTGAGTTCAGCTACTATTGTAATAACAGACACCCAAAAATATTGTGGCTTAAATATATAAAGGAAGATATATATATATCTCCCACGGTCATTAGGAACCCAAGTTCCTTCTAACATTTTATTCTTAACACATGCCTTCCACTCTCATGGTTGCCATGAGATTCGAGGTAACCAGTGGAGCTTTAGTCATTACATCTCTATTCTAAGCAGGAAGAAGGAGGAAGCTGGGAGGAAACGGCGAAGGAGACAAATGAGGTTCTATAGGTAAAGCACATGGCCATACTCAAAAATACAGAAGGCCACAGCCTCAAGTTATAGATGAAAATTTTACTATACTGACATCCACTGACAGTGTGTAAGGACTTACTTGCCTTACTCATTCCTCAGGTTCTTTGGTCCTCATGCTAGTTCAGTCTGTGACACAAATAATGTATCAAGGGAAGAAAAGGCTTTGGATATGCTTGTTGTCAGGGACATTCTCCATGAACTCCTAAGGCTTGAGACCAGTTTTAGTGATTAAGTGCAATGAGAAAAACTATTGAGGAACTTCTTCCACTGAGGATTGAAAGTTGGCTTGGGACAAGGTTGGTTTAGACTCTAAGAATGAGAATCCACATGCCAGCATGCTAGTAACTTACAGAGGAGCAGCCCCTAGAGAACTACAAAGTGAAATCCAAAAAGAGGGGTTCTACCATGCTGATGCCATTAACATGCTACATCACAAAATGACAACCTGGTTAAATTTTACCACGTGTCCATTTACCTTTTATTACATCCTTTCCTCTTTCTAGAAGGACTCAATGATCCAGCAAGTTTTGGGGTTTTCCTTTACACTACTTCCACCATCTATGGCTAATTTCTCCTGTAGATATTCTTTCTTGCCTACCAATAACAGAGCTGAGGCTACACAAAGGAGTTTCTGGGGGGTGCCATCAGTTCCACCTTTCTTTGAGATGGTCAGTGTTTTTTTAATTTTATCTAAAGTAATTTGCAAATCTGCATGTCCCAGCCTTTTTCCACCCCTAAATCACTCTTTCTATGCAGACAGGCTAGAGGCATAATTGATGCAAAGTAGGACAAGATCTTCCACATTCTCTCCTTCCTGAATGCCCCAGGAATATTGGAAATGGATCTGTTTACTTTCAGATTCTATAGTTAGTCACCACAGAGAAATAAATAGTAAGTAATAAAAATAAGACAGATGAGTACAATTCAAAACCTTGTTTTTTAATCTTAAATTTTTAAAATTGCATTACCAAAAGACCACATTCAACCTACATATATTGGGCATAACTATGTGTCAGACTCTGTGCTAGGAACTGACATCAAGAGAGGCACAGAATTTGCTGTTTAAGAGTGTGGGCAGGAGTAAAACAGTGTTCATCTCAACTCTTAACAGCAATAATCTGGCAACCTGTCTCCATTTCATTATCTTCAGAATGGAGGTAGAAATAGTATCAACTTCGTAGGGTTGTGGGAATGAATGAAAAGAATGTGAAATACCTGTCATAGTATAAGTATTTAATTCATGTTGGGTGCTGTTAATGCAAATCTTACAGTTGAGAATAAATACATAGATAAATAATTAAAAACAATTCAAGTGCCCTGATAGAGGACTGCACAGGGATCAGCGGGGCAAAATAAAGAGGAAATAGCCGGGAAAGAATTCTTAGAGGAAGCAATGACTGAGTTTCACCTTGAGAGTTGAGTAGGAGTTTCCCGGTCGGGAAGTAGGAGGGGTGAGGGTGGCTTCCAGGCAGAGAGAGCAGCTGAAGCAAAAGCACTGGTGTGTGAAATAGCCAGTATGAAATAGTGTGTATGAGGAAAATCTGAAGAAGTTCACTATGACTAGAACATGGACTAGAAAGACATGTGGCCCAGGGATAAGCAGGATGCAGATCACGGAGGACATGTGCTTTTCTAGGGAGAGCACTGTTTATTCTATAGAAAAGAGGGCATTAACTGTCTTAAATAAAGGAAGAACCCAATAAGATTTGTGTTATAAAATATCATTCCGGCAGCAAAGTGAATAGATTAGAGGGGGACAAGGTTGGAAGTCAGCTAAACCGGTTAGGCCAGAAGATAATGGGAAACATATTCAAAATGTTCAAAGAAAAACTATTTTTCAAAAGTGAAGGCAAAATAGAAACATTCCCAGATAAACAAAAGGTGAAAAAATGTGTTGCTAGTACATATACCTTACTAAAGGAGGTCTTTCAGGCTGAACACAAATGTCCCCAGGCAGTAATTTAAATCCACATTTAAAAAAAAAGTACCAGTAAATGTAATTATGTAATTATAAAAGATAGTATAAATGTATATTTCTTCTCTTAACTGATTTAAAATAACTGTATAAAAGAATATGTATATAATTGTATTGTTAGGCTTATAAGATATATAAATATATTTGTCAATAATAGCATAAAGGAGTTGGGTAGAAGAAAAATTGTACTAGGCTAAGGAAATGATACCAGATAGTAACTCAAATTCACATGAACAAAAGAAGAGAACCAGAAATGGTAAATAAGAGGTTAATATAACAAATGCCATAAATATATACTTGTTCTTCTTTCTTCTCTCAGCTTCTTTAGAAGACATTAAATTACATAAAATAGTAATTATAACAATATATTTTGGGGTTTGTAACACATACAGATGTAACATGTATAACAATACCACAAAAGA